AAATTAAATTAAATTAAATTAATTGTTGCTAATGTTAATTTTTTTCTTTCCTTTCCAGGGAACTGACAGAAGTCATTGATCTCTCTAGGTTTAAAAAATTAAAATACTTATGGCTACATCACAATAAGGTAGTTCTATGTTATCTTTAAATAGCTCTATAATTAAATCACAATCTTAATTTCATGTTTTTGTTGAAGCTAATCTTTAAAAGTATTAATATTCTATACTCCTAGTTTAAGTAAGAAACAAAATTCTTACGTGATCTGTACCCTCTGGTACTAACAGGTGTGTAAAGTCAACTTTTTTTCTTTTAATGGATTATTCCAAAGTAGGTTTTTTCAAGTCTAATTCCTCTTTGTTGGCCTCTCCCAACTCCTCCTCCCCTTTTATCCCAGTGGTACCTGAAACTGACAGTTTCTGGGCTGTGGCAAACTACTCCCTTGGGCAGGATCCCTTGTAAAGTACCCCAGATCAATATTCCTTCAGTGGTCTGGCATGCACTTCCCAGCACTCACACACCTTTGTCCTCCTGTCAGAAGCCAAGCAGGTGGTCACCTCCCAGTGACCTAAGCCGATCTACTTTCTCAGGAAGTGGCAGACAGTAAGCCACCATGTCCCCAACTGCAGGGAAGTTCACTGAGTATGGCCCTTAAAGGTTCTCTTGGAGGCTAGAGTTTAGGAGGCAGTGCCCTCCCACTGCCTCCCCCATAGTGGGTGCCTGGCTGGGGCTCCAAGTTCTTTCCAAGGCAAAGAGCAGAACTGAACTAAAATGCGAGCTTAGACAATCATCAGTTAGTCGGTTATTCTCAACTTTCAAAAATTTGACTTTCCAACAGCTTGTGTTTTGTTCATTATGAACTGATGATCCAATCTTAACTTTCTGAATTTCGACTTTCAAATACCAGCTGATTAAAAAGAAATAATTTCAGTTTTCAGCAGTAGTCTGCTTGTCAACAGTAGTCCCGACTCAAAGCACAGAATCCCTAAGCAGCCATGTTTATACAAGCATTTCAATATTACATGGCATTTTCAGTCTTCTCTTTTTTTTTCTTAACTAACTAAGTGGGAAATGGAAAATGAAAGTGCTTCTCATATTAAGTGTAAGTATAAGTCTCATGAGTTTGAAATGATTTCTGAGAGAACAAACAAATCACCTTCAAGGCCCAGGCGACTAGCAATTGAAATGGAAAGTGTACGCACCACTTAAGGGCACACAAGTTTAAAACTCTTTTAAACACTCTGCCAAAAATGATCCTGGGTCACAGTGTGCGCCCTCTGATTAGAAAAAGATGGAAATCATTAGAAGCATGGCCAGACTGACTAATCTTTGTTTCTCACATGTGCCTCTTGTGGTGTTCAGCTCTGAAGGAAAGAACGTGTACAAATATCAGCAATGTGTCTACAGGGAAAGATATAATTAGGGATTCTTAAATATCTTTTAGCTTTGTGTTAGTGGACACTATCCCATTTCCAGTCATTGAATTTTCACACAATTGACTTGAGACACATTATATACATAGGAAAGGATGGTACACCCGCTCAACTATGTTACTTTCTTTTGTTTCTGAAGGGCAGCGGGTGGGGAAGGAATGGAGGAGGCTGATTTCTCTTCATGTGCCTGGTTATTTACATTCAACAAACTCACTATATTATTTCCAAAATCATCATCATTTAACTTTGTTCTTTTAAAAAATAGACTTACTTAGTTCATATAACAATGAAAATATATCTTATCCAAAAATCCGGTGTTCATTTGATAAGTAAATGAGCTCCTGTAAGTTTTCCTATTGGTCAATAATTGGCTGGTTGCTAAGCTGCTGAATACTTATAGTCCATGAAAAATTAAAGCCTTAATTTAGGGGGCACCTGGGTGACTCAGTTGGTTAAACATCTGGCTTCTGCTTAGGTCATGATCTCTAGGACAGTGAGTTGAGGCCCCACTTTGGGTGAGCTCAAGCCCTGCTCTGGGCTCTGCACTCTCTCTCCCTCTCTTTATCTCCCTCTGCACCTCATGGGATTGCCTCTCTCTCTGCCCCTTGTTCACTCCTGTGCTCTCTCTCTCTCTCTCTCTCTCAAAAATTAATTAATTTAAAAAAATGAAGTCTTATTCAGGATCCCAAACTCCAATGAACATACTAGCTATGATAGTACTTCAACAAAATCCATATGTAAAATTTTGATTATTACTTTTCTTTATTTTTTATTTAATTTTAATTTTTTTAATGTTTATTTCTGAGAGAGAGAGAGACAGAGCATGAACGGGGGAGGGGCAGAGAGAGGGGGAGACACAGAATCTGAAGCAGGCTCCAGGTTCTGGGCTGTCAGCATAAAGCCTGCTGCGGGCTCGAACCCACTAACCATGAGATCATGACCTGAGCCGAAGTCAGACCCTTAACCGACTGAGCCACCCAGGAGCCCCACGATTATTACTTTTCTTTAAAATCTAGATAGCAATAGGATGACCGCAAAGAAGTTAATATACCAGCATTGAAATGATGTGTAAAAATACAGTGAAAAACATCAACACTGACACAGGAATGTAAATATTTAGAATTGCAACATTTTGTTAACAATGACCAGAATCTGTGACTGGCATTGTTCTTACATTAGAGAGTATCTTGAACTACCCTCTATTTAGGAAAAACCAAGGCACAAAGTGGTAAAGTAAAATGAACACATCTTTGTTGTTTACTCTTTTATACTCAAGAATTTTGTTGAGGAATGTGTATTGGATATTATTGGTTGTCCATCCAATATCCATTCTCTCTTTTTACCTAAACAGCAGAATCTGAATTTAGGTTTTGGTACATACTTCTCTTTTTTAATCAGGTAGATGACCCCATCACCAGTTGCAGGGAATGGATCCTATACTGTCTAAGCCAATCGGGATAATCCCATCCTCCTTGTGAGTGGCTAGTCAATGAATGGGCACATAACCCAATTATGGTAATAGAGACAGAGGAGGCATCTGCTAGGAGGCTTCTGTGAGACGTTTCCTCGGTCTTAAAGGGAGCACTAGAAGAGAGAGAAGAGAGGTCCCTTGGTTCCTCGATGATTTCTTGCCTAGATATGAAGCCAGGAACCATCCTCTCAGCATGAGAATGTAAGCAACATTTAGAGAAAAGTACAGCCCAGGGACTCATTGTGATACTAGGACTGAGGCTCTCATAGCCTCTGGACTTCTTGGTATGTGGGGTAATAAATGTTCTCATCTATGTGCCAGTTTGAGTTTAGCTCAGAAGTTACCTGAAGCCAAAACATCCTATCTGATGTGTCTCGTTTTGTACTTACGGTTAGGCTACTGACAGAATGTAACAATAAATGTGATGGTACCTGCTCTAACGATAAAATTAAGAAGGGCAGAGGGAGTGGCTCTCTCTACTCATGGTAAGGGCATGGCATTTGCAAACTACCTGGAATGGAATATGAGAAAGCTATACTCTTGGGAGGCAATGAATGCAGTTTGGTGTATTTGGAACCTAACATGGCTAGAAGCAGGTGTATGTTTCCTCATCATTCTCTAGTGGGTGATAAAACTGGAGCATCTAATCTGACCCTGGACTTGCAGATTCAATAGGTAAAAGTTGCTTCCAATTCCCCAGCTTTCCTAGGTTTGCTCAGCCAACTCTGGTTCCTTTATTACACTCTCTGAGGGCCCATTTCTTCCTCATACTGCATAGATATTCACTAATTCTGCAGCACCTCCATTTCTGGGTCACCTTTTCTCATCTCTCCTCATGTAATTAGTGGGAGGTCACTGCTCTTACATGCACAGTAACCGAGGCCTTTTAAATACTCCCTTCTTTGTCTCATCTTCTAGAATTCCTGACCGAGGGAATTTTAGGTCCACAGCTAATCCTTTCCAACCTTCCATGAGAAGTTGAGTGATTTGCATTTTATACTACAATTTCAAGTGGTCTATACTTTTGATCTTTTTGTGTTTGGGCTCATCACCTCAAAAATTGTTTTTTAATTCATTCAATAATGAACTCTTTTTTAAAAAAATTTTTTTACATTTATTTATTTTTGAGGAACAGAGTGAGACAAAGCATGAGTGGGGGAGGGGCAGAGAGAGAAGGAGACACAGAATCTGAAGCAGGCTCCAGGCTCTGAGCAAGCGGTCAGCACAGAACCTGATGCAGGGCTCGAACCCACGAACTGTGAGATCATGACCTGAGCCGAAGTCGGACGCACAACCGACTGAGCCACCCAGGTGCCCCAATAATGAACTCTTAATATTGGTGCCACAACGCTAGTATCCTTTTATTTCTGGAAGAATGGCCAGTACTTGGGTATATTTCATTTGTCTCAGATTAGAAGAAGCACTTGATGAAAACCCGTATGTTGCTTCACCAAGCAACTGTCAAAATGGAATCTGAGTTTCTGCCATGTAGCAAAGACCAAATAGGTGACACATTTTACAAACTAAATCTAAATAAAAGTACCTCTTCTGGCTAAGGTATTGTTCATAAACTTCATCATGTAAAAAATAATTGAAATACTTATTTATAATAACATATTCCATAGTAACTAACCAGAGAAAGGTCAGATTAAAATAAGCAAAATTGCTTTGAGAAAGATGCTGGACTCTGGGACACCTGGGTGGCTCACTCGGTTGAGCATCCAACTTTGGCTCAGATCATGATATCAAGATTTGTGAGTTCAAGCCCCACGATGGGCTCTGTGCTGACAGCGTGGAGCCTGGAGCCTGCTTCTGATTCTGTGTCTCCCTCTCTCTCTGCCCCTCCCCTGTTCATGTTCTGTCTCTCTCTTTCTCTCTCTCTCTCAAAAATAAATAAACATTAAAAAAGAAAGAAAGAAAGAAAGAAAGAAAGAAAGAAAGAAAGAAAGAAAGAAGAAAGGAAAGAAAGATAGATCCTGGACTCATTCTTCTACACCATTAAGATATGTTACTCTTTCCTATCTCCCAAGCATTCAGCACATATTGAGAATTTTGTAAATAGCACAAATTTGATTATGTTAGGAAGGGACATTGATGCTCAAAATTAGCAATTCACAATTTGAAAAAAGAAATAATTATCTTTAATGTGCTGTTTAGAATATTTGTAAAGAGTTCTTGAATTACTACTTTTTTTCAAGTAGCTTTACAACATATATCATGGAATTT